TATATATATATATATATTAATTATGTCAATTTTACATTATGTGTATTTATATATATATATATATATATATATATATATATATATATATCTCCAAATTTAACAACTAATTAAATTTTAAGCATTTATAACATAAATTTTTTATCGGGTAAGGACTTATCCTTTATTTGATCTTATTTTATTTTACTAGTTTTAAACCAAACAATTTTGTCACAAATTCTTCATGAAATAAATTTTCTTTTTCTATATTATTTGCATGAAATAATATCTTTCATAATATTATTATCCTTCAAACAACTATATTTAAATGTATTTTGTTTCTTCAAGATTTTTCAAACAAAAGAAATCAAATATAGAAAAATAAAATCATAACAACATAATAAAATATTAATTATATTAAATAATATTTTAATATGTATAATACACATAATAAATATTCATTATATATAAATAAAATTTATAATAAATTATATATACAAATAAATATCATGTTTAAATAGATATTTTTAAACATATTTTAAACAATAATATATAAGTTATATTTTAAGTTGATGATAAATAATTTATATCATAATATAATATTTTATTTATTGATAATTTATTTAAAAATATTAAATTTTAATTTATTAATAATTATGATAAACAAATATTAAATTAAATAATAAACTAAAATTTTCTAGAAACCTTTTCATTAAAGAAAAATTTCTGAAATTGTTTAAATACAAAATAAAAATTCATATTTAATATATAAAAATTGAAGAATTAATTGTTAATTACAGATAATTATTAGTAAAAAAATATTAAAAAAGTTATACTAAAATTCATATTTAACAGAATTCACGTAAACAAAATTTCTCTCATAGCGCACTGTAATAAAAATTCACGTAAAAAAAATTGTTATGTAAATATTCCTTCAAAATAATTTTAAACTGTCTTAATTATTTTTTTACAGAAAAAACTATATTATAAATGGTGTTACAAAGACCATTAATCAATATAAAAAAATATATTTATTTTTTTTTGAAGGGAAAAAAAAAATTTATTAATAAATCTTAAAAATCATATATTATTTATATTTATCGATAGAAAATAATTTATTTATTATACATGCAATAATAACTTTTAATAATCACAAATAACTTTTCTTATGCCATGCATTTAATGAATAAATATATAATACGACTTATTTTATATAATGAACACATGTTTTCCTCAGCAAACATGTTGTGGAAGCGTTGTATAGTGACACGTAAACATTGCCGGAATCAGAAACAAAAAGAAAAGGCAACCTCATCATCACTTTCACCATTGAAAGGTACAGAGTAGACGCTGCCAATGTCCACTGTGCGAGTTCAAGTCTCGGCGTGCGCGCTTACCGCCACCGTCAACCACCTTCGCCTCCGCCCAAACGCCGTCGTTTCATTCCCCAACAATTTCGCTCTCAGGAAGAAGCCTCTCAGGGTGCTCTCAATGTCCTCCCTTCCTCCTTCCCAACCCTTCGAAGTCGCCGTTAAAGCTTCCGTCACCACACCTAACAGGCTCGGCGATTGTAATATCACGTTCTCGCCTTTTTACGTTTTTTTTTCTTTTTATTGTTTCCTTTTCGTTCTGTGTTGAACAACTCGCTTTGGTTTCTTCGGTGGAGATTCAAATTACAATCACATTAAGGGATTAATGATGTTCATGAAAGAAGTAGAGAAATGTGGCCATGTGTGAAGATGGAGGAATATAAATTAGGATGTATCTAGACTTGATTTATGTCCACGTTCATTTTCTCAATTTTCCACAAATTTTAAGGGCTGTTTGGATTGTGTAAATGTTTTCTTGTCATTTTTTTTATACCAAAATTAACTAAAATGTCACCTGGTCTGTTTTTGATAATTTTTCTCGATAAGCACTCTTGAAAGAAGAAAATAAAAAGGTAAAATGAATTAATTTTTCTTAGAAATTAAAATCAGCTTTGTTAAACCGCATGAATCAAGTCTATGAAAAAAAAAAAAAAAGCTTATGAACAAGGTTAAATCAGATTTTTCAGAAGTTAAATGAGAAAACTTCTCCAGAAACACTTCAAGAAGAGGAATGGGAGAAACTTAATTTATTGCACATTTTTACTTTCTTATCTTATAGTTGCTTATTGAGAAATTTATCTGAACCATATCCCGCTATCTCCTGATGTGTATAATTGTAGAAGTGTTTCGGTGATTTCTCATATTTTGAGAGTAGGTATTGATTTTTCATGTATTTTGTTTCAATTCCATGTAGGTATGGCCAGAAGAGCCTTTATCCTGAAATTATAGAGCTAACTCTGCATATGTTTAGTATTTTGTTTTTTATCCTAAGGAATTACAATGACAATACCATGTTCGAACTTAAGATTTAATGCATACTACTCTAACCTTCACTATTAGGTAGACCCTAGTGGTTCTATGTTTTGTATTTAAGAAAACAGATGATTTTTGTTGGTATTTTTTTGAGCTTTAACTCGGAGTTGTACCTATAATCTGTTAGTGTGACTCTTTGAATTGTCTTTTCAGGCCCTTTTTGCCAAAGGGTGTTGTTGACACTGGAGGAAAAACATCTTCCTTATGACCCCAAGTTGGTGGATTTGACCAACAAGCCAGAATGGTGATCTTCTGCTCCATTTTTTTTGGATAATTTATTTTCCTTTTTTTAATTCTTGGAGAGTTATCTTCATAAAATGGAATCACTTACAAGGCCACATGTTTTTTTTATTCCTTACCTGTTGTTTTGCTTGTTTAGGTTCCTTAAAGTTAATCCTGACGGTAAAGTTCCTGTTATAAAGTTTGATGAGAAGTGGGTTCCCGATTCAGATGTTATTACACAAACATTGGAAGAGAAGTATCCTAGCCCACCATTGGTGACCCCACCTGAAAAGGCAACAGTGTATGCATTTGGCTTATAGATTTGCTCATCATTTGAATACACTTAAAGTTTATTTAGATCTAGTTGTTCTTAGTTGTACATTGCTTTGAATTTAGAAAAATGCACAATGAACTCATACTAGCTTGAATACAGTTTTTTTCCCTTCTACTCCATTTCAACCTTTTCTTTGATGTTTAAATAACTATATTAAAATTAAATGTAGTCCAATTTTCTAATGTATGTGCGGTTTTTGTCTGTAGGGGGTCAAAGATCTTTTCTACATTTATTGGATTTCTCAAGAGCAAGGATCCCAATGATGGAACAGAGCAGGCATTACTAACTGAATTGAGCTCTTTCAATGATTACATCAAGGAAAATGTATGGCATTTTTCTGCTTTTATCTCTGCTAGTTTTGTGCAATGTTCTTCAGTGATGAAATGCTTTCAGCCATAGAGGAGATAGTGAGATACAATGGACTGGTTTTCAATCAAACATTATCCTTACTTTCATGGTTCCCATTTTTGAACTGAAATTCCTACTTCGACTCTGGTAAGGTTTAAGCTAAATGGTAAAGTGTGAAAAGTGAATTACCTGAAGTTGATATACCAACATACAACAGGATATTTCAGATGGTATTCCTACATTTATAAAGTGCCTATATATTGCTTGGTGTTGTTCAGATGGGTTTGCTTTATTATGTGGGACTTTTGTAGTTCATCTCTCAAATATTTGTTTGAGGTGCTGTTTTATAGCTGTGAACAGAACCTACATGTTACAACCAGGTGACTGATTTGTTGCCCTTTCATTTTAATTATATTACTGACAAATGGGAAACTTGTATCCATTTGAATATGAAATCAGAGTTGAATTTTCCCTCTTCCCTCTCTGAATTCTCCCTACCTTTTCACAACTCTTTTAATCGCTGGAGTACTCTTCTACTATTAAGCTACTCCCTGGTCAAGAGACCTTGTTTATTTTAATTCCTGTATCGATATACTCCTTTACACATTTAGTGTGCTTCACTTGTATCATCTCAGAGTGGATCCTCAAAAATCTCACGAGCGTAAAAAAAAATCTGTTACATAATCTGATCAATCAGGGTACAACAGGAACCTTGATTTAATATAAAGCAGGTGCCATTGTAACTTACTACCCTTCAAATGCATTGAAGCCAAATGGACCTTTGATTCAGGAGATGTATTATATCAATAACTAAAAATTGCTCATTCTTGTATAGCCACTCCTTTAATTTTGGAGATGCAAGTAGCATATGAATTATGAGGTTGATGTTTGGTGAGATGCATGATATCTTGCAGAAGACACCTCTGGGTGTTATTGGGGAGGATTTGCGATGCGCATTGGGTTGTGCCTCAATCTTCAGTTTCAGTTCTGCCAAACTCTATTAATATCATTGATTCTTCTGTCCAAGGATCACTCCACCTCATGGATTGATGTCTGATTTTTGGTAGCACAGCCATCAGCATGCATTCCAGAGATCAAATCTCTGATATCAGTTGTGACAAGAAGTTAAATAAGTTCTCTTGACCAGGGAGTAGCTTAATGGTAGAAGAGTACTCTGGTGATCAAAATAGTTGCAAAAAGGTAGGGAGAATTCAGAGAGAGATGAGGGAATATTCCATTATGATTTCATATTTGAATGGGTACAAATTTTCCTACACGTAGGTAGCACAACTAAATTGAAAGAGCAACAAACTGAGCCATCTAAATGCAATTCTATCAAAAAAATGCAGAAAAAATGAGTTGCGACACACTACATGGCATAAAGAAATATCATACCTTCTAACAATTTTTGGAATTTATAGTATCGAACAAAAGTCAAACCAACAATCAATTAGGGTTTCATTTGGATGAAATTTTAATGCTGTATTCCAGCAACAGTAGACTGGGCAAATTAGAAAATCAGAGAAAGAGAATGTATTTCACATGGGGATGTCAAATGGACCCAGACCCAATGGGTACCCAAAAAAATTTCCGATCAAATGGGTCTAGCTATGACTTATTACTACCCAACCCTACCCTTATTTGCATAATTTTTTTATTATACTTTAATTAATACTCTTTTTATGGGTTTTATTATTTCATCGTTAATATTAGTATTCATGTTTTAATAGTTTGTTAAATAGACACATGCTAAGAGACCATATTCAAGTTAATCAAAATGCAGCTACAAGAATATAGATATTCAGTGAGTAAAGCTAAGGGCATTGAAGTTATTACCCAGGCGTGTATAGATCAAGATTTTTTCTTCTTCTAAATGTGGATATGGGGACAAGTATTTTAATACCCTGCCAAAACCTTACCGTCCTCTCTAATTTCAGAAGATAACCTAGTGGTACACCTAGGTTTCTTAGGCATTGCAAGTGTCTCATTGGGATTTCTTTGAAATCTTGTTCCCTACAATGTGGCTCTCTTTGAAAATGAATTTAGTCCTTTGATTTTGTGGTTTCTAATTACATCACCTAAATAAGACTGGTCAAAACTTAGGGACCAAGTGACCCAGAACTCTTGATCCAGTATAGACTGTGCTTCCCTAAATAAAACCCCCTAAACTAGGTACAATTGCGCGATTCCAACCTAGTAGGTGGAGATATATGCTAATATATCTTCCATTCTCAGTGGGAAACTCTACTAGCCATTTCCTTGACTTGGATGAGCATAAGGAAACTATCTCTTCGATTAATTTAAGGGGCCCAATCACTCCTGTAATATCATTCTGTTTATCCATCATTGATTATGGAGAACTTGATCCAAAGATGGTTATATGTTTACATCTTGTAGGATTTTGTTTTCTTGTATTTATCTTTCTAGATTCTATCTTAGTTTAATTTTAAAATTTGAGGAAGGGTCTTTTTGCAGGGAACCTTCTACTTTATTTAACTTACTGTTCTTTTTCCTCTTTGTAGGGTCCTTTCATCAACGGTAAAGAGATATCTGCTGCTGACCTTTCACTTGCACCAAAGCTATACCATTTGGAGATTGCTTTGGGGCATTATAAGAAATGGACAGTGCCTGATTCACTTACCTATTTGAAGTCTTATACGAAGGTATGTTCAAGATAAGCCTACCTACTCAACATCTTCATATCATTTTCTTGTACTTTTAAGGATCTTTTCGAATCTAGAATTGTATGCAGGAGGCTACATCCGTAGATCCATATGTATATTGACAACGTTTCTCAAACACTAGTAGTTTATTAAATTTGTGGAAATTATCTCCAAAAGATATTCTGTATTGTCCATGTTGAAATCCGTAGATTAATATCTGAAAATGCTCATCAAGAAGAAAGACCTGAGTTCTGAATTTCATCAGAGTACAAAACTCGAATGATTTCACTGAAGATGCTTCCGCTTTTGCATACCTTGTAAATTGTAATGACTGTAGGAATGCTGTAAAAGTTAAAATATTCACCTAGTATTGTAACCCAACTTGGGGTATCATATTAATAAAACACTGGCTAAATTTTACTGATGTATACTAAAATCCTGGGGTTAATTTCTGAATAACTTCACTAATTGATTGTTTGTTAGGTAGTTGACCCATGATGCACTAGAATTCTTTGCTTGAATTTGTTGTTTGCTATGCCTACTATAGCTAGTAAAGCTTTGAAAATTCTTTTAATTTGCTATTTGTTATGGCTACTAATGCAGGCCATTTTCTCGAGGGAATCGTTCATTAAAACAAGTGCACAACCACAGGATGTCATTGAAGGTTGGCGTCCTAAAGTGGAGGGCTAATATCCGCGGATCATGCACTATCATTTCCATGAGAGTCTCAGCACTATACCCCCAACAAATAGAAATCCATCAAGAATTCAAAACCTACATTGTTTCGTGTATTATATAGCCTTGTTCATGCACTATGGACTACGGAATAAATTATGTATTAAGAGTAGTTTGCCACAAAGAATGTAGAAGACTGCATTGCATGTAGATGAAAATAGTTGCACTCCCTAAAATAAATAAGAATTTACATTTCTTATTTTCCTTAACACATTAAGAATAGTTGCACTCCCTAAAATAAATAGAATTACTCTCATTTATTATTTCTCCATTAAAAAATAACAATATTTTAAAAACAATTAGAATTATGTTATAAGGAATAGTACATAGGTATTGTTGGGTGTAGAATCTGTTAATGTACAACAAACTAGAAAGTAATCCGGCCATAGCTGGCAGCGAACATTGAACAACAAAATCCGAAGGAGAGAGACGAGACGACACACAGTGGTTAAGAGAGAAAATATTGTACGGTCCTTTTACACCAATTTGGACCCTGCCTCTGTTACCCTCACCAAAACAATAACCTCGCATTCCGGGTTCGGCTTCCAGCGGGCCCCACCTTCACTGCAATCAACATCCATAACCCAGGGACATCTTCGTACTTTCAAAACCCCATCAAAAATAAAACCACTGCCACGTCACCGATCCGTGCGTGCTCCCCAAATTTACACCCATCCGTCCGATCACCTCCCCCTCCGCCATTCCTGGCCGTCCATTTTCCCTTTTGGTAAAGAAATAATTTTTTATATTATTTATTATCACCCTTCAAATCAGATCCTCATTTCCTCGCAGGTTCTGTGAAAGCTCTATTTGCTTCCAAGCTTCTAAAGCTTCGAACAAACTCTGCAACTAACTTTAATGGCAACTGGAGAGATCACTAATAAATCTCCTTCACTCCCTCCGTACCCCGAGGTAAATTCTAACTACCACTCATTTAACAAAATAAATTTACTTTATCAAATTTCTAACCTATAATTACTCTACATTTACCTACTGATCTGAATCTTGTCGAAATTAAAAAAAAAAGTCCAGTTTAATTCTTTTAGTTATAATTTCAGCGGAATTTCGATGTAGAAGAAAAATAAACTAGGGTTAATTCATTATATACGAAACGTACCCTAGTTTTTTTTTTTAAAAGGAAATGATGAGTTGGGGTGTGTGAATTTTTTTCAGATGATTTTGGAGGCAATTGAAGCGTTGAATGAGGGGAAGGGTTCCAATAAGTCTTCAATTTCGAAGTACATAGAATCTACGTACGGTGGATTGCCCCAGGGACACAAGGTACTTCTCAATGTGCACCTGGCGAAAATGAGGGACAGTGGGGTTCTAGTGTTTTGGAAGAACAACTACACCAAGCGTGACCCGAACGCGCCTCCGCGGCGTGGCCGTGGCAGGCCCCCCAAGCCCAGGGAGCCTCTTCCTCCGGGCACCATCCTGCCACCACCCAGGCCCAGAGGTCGCCCTCCAAAGGGCCCAGATGGCTCCCCAAGGCCACCCAAGGCCTCGCCTGGGAGTGGCAGGCCCAGAGGCCGGCCCAGAAAGATGGCCCGGCCTGCTGGAGGATTTGGGGAAACATCCCCGCCCAAGGCCTCTGGGAGGCCCAGAGGCAGGCCTCCCAAAGTCAAGCCCGTGTTAACAGAAGTTGGTGCTTAACAATTTAGCCTTGTTGTGAGTGTTTGAGAAGTGTTGTTTCTAAAAAAGGGGAGAATAAATGGAACTAAGTAACAGTTGTGTTGACTAGATTCTCTTCTGTGTATGAATTGTTGTGTAGTGCAGTTGCTGATTGCTGAGGCTTTGTTGGTTTGTAAATTGTAATTGTAATTGTGAAAATAGGACAATGGGTAGAGAGACTAGAGTTAATGGACTCCTCATCCAAAATTCTTCATGTCAACAATTTCAATCTCTGTTATTCATCTTAGATTGATTCTTGTCTAGATTTTTATTGGGTTGCTTGCATGTTTTGTTCGGATCAATTTTTTGAGGAATAATTCTTTGTTTTAAAAACTTTTTAGAGGAATAAGTAAAATTGGGTAATTGTTATTCTTAAAATGCTCTAGATTAATCATGCATTTAAATTAGTGTTGTGAAACTTCAAAGAAAGCAGGCTTTACATAGAATCTAATATACCCTGTGTTTATTGACCTCGCAAGAGGACTTAAACTTTAGTTAATAACACAAAAACATAAAAAAAAAAAAAAAAAAATGTTCGTGTTACTTTAGGAGGTTGATGCGGACTTTCTTACAACTGTGGCCAATGTTTAAAACCTTATCCAAAGACACTGAAAAGTGTGTTGTTACCCTAATTAATCTTGTTATAATGGTGACTAATTTTAACATTAACAAAGGGGATTGCCGATTAGTGCTTTGTGCAAAATATTGTATTGGTTGATCATTTATTGCGCACGCAATATTCCATCTTTCTTTTTGAAACAGTGGGTGGAGTAGCAGTTAGATTAGAAACGGGTAAAAGAAATATATTTGGTGTGAATTAGTACGTATATTTTTCCGGTGTTGATAAAGAGTTAAGTTTTTAACTCTGGAAGTTCACTTTTGATGCAATTACAATGGTATTTGGAAATCTGTTTGCGTTGATGCTAACAGAAATTCTCACTTTTTATACATAAAAATATGAAGCAAATTATTGTTGCATTGAACGATTTTAAATACTTCATTTAAGCTTTAAAAATTCAGTGGATTGGCAAGTTTTTCTTGTCGTTGGGATTATATTTTTATTCTAATAGATTTCTATCAAAATAAATAAGTTAAAAATTATTTTTTATCTCTAAAATTTTCAACTAGTCGGAAAAATAAGCACTTTGTGCCTATATATAGATATATGTGTTTATATATATATATATATATATATATATATATATATATATATATATAGTGG